CTCTACCACTTGAGCCACAGCGCCACTTCTGGCTTTTTTCTTTTTGCTTATATGGTGCTGAGGAATCGAACCCAGGGCCTCAGGCATGCAAGGCAAGCAATCTACCACTGAGCCACCTTCCCAGCCCTGACACCAACAGACTTTCATTTCAGCTAAAAGCCCTAGGGACGCCAGACAATGATGGCTCTCTTAAAGCTGAGGTCTCTTCTTCTTAGGCAGAGTCTAGCCAGGCTAGGCAGGTGTCTGGGGTAGTTTATCACAGGAAGGGGAGGGGGGCAGGATGGAAACAGGGGAAGGGGACCTTTGTGCAGAGACTGAATCTTCAGTCATAGGGAAGCGTCTGTTTTTAGCAGACCTGTCAACAAATGGTAGCTGTAAGGTCTGCTGGGGCTTTGCAGGCCCTGGCCTTCCCACCTCCTACAAACTTAAGTCTCCGCCCAGTACCTGCATCACCTAGGTAACTGGCACACCTGGAAGTAGTCACCTACCCCTCCTCCCTCTCCCCCCCCCCCATATTCCCCATCGGACTGAGGGAGGGTCTCAGGCCCTGAGGTCACCCAGCCACACCTTCTCCCTGCCCCTTGCCTACTGAAACCCAGGACAGACATCCGCTTCCTGTTTTGGGTCTGCACCCCTCCACCAAGCAGTTTGGTTATAATAAAACTTCTTTTCCTGCCTGAATACTGCAAGGTCTGAGGCAAGGGCAGTTTCATGGCTATCAGAGGGAAAGGTGAATGTTTTCAGTTTCAGTCTTTTCCCATCACTTACTATGGCACAAGACAACATGAGTGCCCCAAGCAAGACTCACTGGAGTGTTCATATTCCAGACAATGCAGCCAGTGTAGCTAAGACAGCATCACTTTGATGTCTAATTCTGTCATGAACTTGGGAGTCACCTGTCCTCATTGTTGTCTAGAGTTACATGGTGAAAGAAAACAGCAGTGTTCTCCTATTGTGCCTGGTTGTGATCGTCCATAGGGATCTTTCTCTGCTGCTGTATTGATTGCTGTGTCTCCCTGGCCTCCATCTGTCACTATCTGTTTCTGTGGCATGGCTCCTCCATAGAAACAACTAGAGTCAGTTATGGATCTCCAAAGGATGTTGCCTCTTCTATGAGCCTCCCCTGGATCATCCAGAACCCTGGATCCCAGCTGTTCCCATAGACTGAGAGCAAGCCTCAAACCTAGGTCTAGGAGACAAACCAACAGGAAGTAGTCATTCCCTGAAAGATTTTAGTCTTGGGCCCTTAAAGGGGGCAAAGATAGGTAATAATTAGCCAAGAATGATGGAAAAATACAAAGGAAACCTAAAATGTAGGATGGGATCACAAGGCCTCTGAGAGAAAACATTGTAATTAAACTTTCCTTTGTGTGTGGCTCACTAAGATCATGGAATGTGTAAGATGAAGCTTTAGTGTTCCACTCACCTAAAGATTAATGATTTGCCTCATTTTAGGCTAAAATCAGTGAGAAAATAGTTATGAAACAACAGATCTTTCTTTTTCTTTTCTTTTTTCTTTTCCTTTCTTCTTTTGCCAGTCCTGGGGCTTGAACTCAGGGCCTGGCCACTGTCCCTGAGCTTCTTTGGCTCAAGGCTAGCACTCTCTCACTTGAGCCACAGCGCCACTTCTGGCTTTTTCTGTTTATGTGGTAGTGAGGAATGGAACCCAGGGTTTCATGCATGCTAGACAAGCACTCTACCACTAAGCCGCCTTCCCAGCCACAACAGATCTTTAACTTACCTGCCCAAGCCAGGAAACTATGGCCTAAGGGTCTAAGGTAAGTCAGTAAGTACCCCACCCCCCTTCTTGGAACAGTGATTCTGTCCCCTGAACTGGTCCTTAATGTTCCAAACCCTTTACACTTCAGTGAAAACTGGTGTGAAGTAAAAATCATCCTCCTACTCACCCTAGAGATGACTCACTTTCTGCTCATTGAAACTGTGTTTCCTAATAAACTTCCCTATCACTTTCCAAAGCAAACCTTTCCTTCCCATTTTTGAATGTACATTCAAGTAATGTTCACAATTTGATAGATATAGAGGCCTTCAAAAATGACCTGAAAGGAAGTGGCGCTGTGGCTCAAGTGGTAGAGCGCTCACCTTGAGCTGAAGAGCTGAGAGACAGCGCCCAGGCCCAGAGTTCAAGCCCCATGACCAACAAAACAAAAATAGGCAAAAATGACCTGAAAGGATGGACTTTGTTGTTGTTGGTCATGGGGCTTGAACTCTGGGCCTGGACACTGTCCCTCAGCTCTTCAGCTCAAGGCGAGCACTCTACTACTTGAGCCATAGCACCACTTCTGGCTTTCTAGTGGTTTACTGGAAGTAAGAGTCTCATGGACTTTCCTGCCCAGGCTGGCTTTGAACCGTGATCCTCAGGTCTCAGTCTCCTGAGTAGCTAGGATTACAGGCATGAGCCACCAGTGGCCAGCTAGGATAGACTTTTTAAAAAGAGAACTTCTACCCAGCTTAAAGCAAAAGTTGGTAATGATCTTTTTTTCTTAAAACATTTAATTCAGGAAGCAGAGGCAAGGCCCAAGTGGTAGAGCATCAGCTTTGAGCAAAAAAGCTGAGGGATAACTTCTAGGCCCTGAATTCAAGTTCCAGTCCTGATACAAAAATCAATTCATCTCTCAGTACTGACACACAAAAAATTAATTCATCTTGAAAAATGTGTTACTCTGTGTGTATGTGTGTGTGTGTGTGTGTGTGTGTGTGTGTGCTGGTCATGGGGCTTGAACTTAGGGCCTGGACACTTTCCCTGAGCTTCTTTTGCTCAAGGTTAGCCCTCTGCCACTTGAGCCACAACTCCACTTTTGTGAGGTTCTTTTTGGATAGTTTATTGGAGATAAGAGTCTTAAGAACTTTTCTGCTCGGACTGGCTTCGAACCACTATCCTCAGATCTTAACATCATGAGTAGCTAAAGTTTGTTACTTTTAAAAGCAAAACTAGAAGCTGATATCTCATGACTGTAATATTAGTTATTTGGGAGGCAAAGATCTGAGGATCTCAGTTCAAAGCAAGCCTGGGCAAGAAAGTTTGTAATGGGCTGGGAAGGTGGCTCAGTGGTAGAGTGCTTGCCTTGCATGCATGAGGCCCTAGGTGCGATTCCCCAGCACTACATAAGCAAAAAAAGAAAAAAGCCAGAAGTGGCGCTGTGGCTCAAGTGGTACAGCGCTAGCCTTGAGCTGAAGAGCTGAGGGACAGCGCCCAGGCCCAGAGTTCAGGCCCCACAACCAGACCCCAAAAAAAAAAAGAAAGAAAGAAAAAGAAAGTTTGTAAGACCCTTGTCTCCAGTTAGGAAATAGAGCTGTGGCTCAAAATGGTTGAGCACTAGCCTTGAACAAAGAAAGCTCAGGAATAGCACCCTGAGTTTGAGCCCCAGGATTGTCACCACAAAAAACCACACACACACACACACACACACACACACACATAGTGCAACTAGTATAATTTTATGTGATTTTATGTTACATATTAAATTTCCATAAACTTAGGCAGTTCTAAGAACCATACATTGAGCAATTATGCTAAACATGATTTTATATTATTTTGAAACTTACAGAAGTATGTGGAACTCACAGATTTGTGTCACATAGAAAATAAGAATTTATGCCTTGCATTGGAAAAGCTAAAAATGACCCCCATCACTGTCTTGGCTTCCCAATATAAAGAAGAAAATGGGTACTGATTACAGATTACTTGCACACCTTTTCAAGGTGCTTTCGTATCTGTCATCTGAGAGACGTTTTTCTATTGAATCAAAGTAGAGGCTCCCCAATGATCTGAGTGCTAAGAACGTGTTGCATGACATTTCCACGTGTCCAGAGCTAGGTGACTATCATGTTTTCATGAAGTATGGGGACACAGAGATGAGCATGCAGAGAGCCTATCTAAAGGAGAATCAAAGCACATCTGTGTGTGTCTTGCTGCAACCTCAGTGTCTAACCTTTGTCCTTTTCCTCTCAGACAGATCCTGTGATTTTGCTGAATGGTATAGAAGAAATTTCCCAAATTGGGCGCCAGTGGCTCATGCCTATAATCCTAGCTACTCAGGAGGCTGGGATCTGAGGATCATAGTTCGAAACCAGCTGGGGCAAAAGCCTATGAGACTCTTATCTCCTATTAACCACAAATACCCAGAAGTGGTGCTGTGGTGCTGTGCTAGCCTTTGAACAAAAAAAAGCTGAGAGGTAGCACCCAAGCCCTGAGTTCAAGCCTGTGGCACAGTTCAAGTACTGGCACAGTACTCCCACAGGAGAGGGAGAGAGGAGGAAGGAGAAAGGAGAAGGAGACAGAGGGAGGGAAAAGGAGTGAGAGGAAGGGAGAGAAAAGGGAAAGAAAAGAGAGGAAGGGAGAGAAAAGGGGAAGGAGGGGGAGAAGAAGGGGAAGGAAGAAGAGGACGAGGAGAAAGGGAGGAGGAGGGAAGGAGACAGAGAAGGAAGAAAGGAGAAAAAAATCCCAGTTGAAACTCTGAATTCTTTGATATTTGTCTCTTGCTGATAGAAAATAGGATTCCCATTAATTACCCCCACAATAAGCGGGTAATTATGACATCCTATCTAAGCACTGAGCTGATCCTACCAGCTCACCTGCCCTTGGAGCAAGTATCTATGGGATGAAAGTACCATGAGTGGCAATCTCATCTTTACAGACACAGAGTTCACCAGAAAGCCAGATTTCAAGTCCTGCTAATTACTCCTCCCCCACAATGTCACTGGCCTATCATGTTTCTGAGTTCGAGGTGCAGTCTGTAAGACTTGGGGAGCCCCTATTACCTCAGAGGTAATGGATAGGATACAGGGGTCAGTCTAGATGATCAGATCCCAGCATACATACATACCTGCTGCTCAAGGTCCCTTCTCAGCCGCTCATCTTGTGCCTTACAGTGGACCTTGGGGTCCAGCAAGGGTTCATCAGCTCTTAGCTTTTTCCACAAGTTGGTGTGCAGGTACCAGGCTCCATAGCGCATCTTCACCCACTTTGCTTTAGGAGATTTCTGCAGAAAGCAAGAAAATCCCAGGGTCTGTAGTTGTGTTGTTGTTGATAGTGTTGTTTTAATGTTTATGATGTTTTGTTGTTGATGTTGATGTTTTTCTTGATTGGTTATTTCAGTAAAAATCTAAGGCCCAGCTTATAAAAATGGTTATTATGATTTTTAGTCCCTGCTAAAGGATGTTATAAAGTTTCCACAGGTTTTGGTTTTGCAAAAAGACACATAAAAATATACATAATTGTGAAAACAATACAATGGTCAAGAATATGGTTTTTGGCTTTAAACAGACCTAGGTTCAAATCCAGCCTTCCTTCCCATAGCAGGGGCCAGTCTGTGGGTGAGATGCTGAAATGCTTCGTGAGAGATTACCTCCCACACAGCATCAAAGATTACAGGGGAGGGGGTGGGAAGGTGGCTCAGTGGTAGAGTGCTTGCCTTGCACGCATGAGGCCCTGGGTTCGATTCCTCAGCACCACATAAGCTGAAAAAGCCGGAAGTGGTGCTGTGGCTCAAGTGGTAGAGGGCTAGCCTGGAGCTGAAGAGCTGAGGGACAGCGCCCAGGCCCAGAGTTCAAGCCCCACAACCAACCAAAAAAAAATACGGGGCTGGGAAGGTGGCTCAATGGTAGAGCGCTTGCCTTGCATGCCTGAGGCCCTGGGTTCGATTCCTCAGCACCACATAAGCAAAAAGAAAAAA